TGTGTGTGTGTGTAGGTATATATATATATATATATATATATATATATAATATATATACGTGCATATGTATATATATATATATATATATATACACACAAACACTTATATTTCTGAATCTCATACAGGTACTACAAAATGTTTTCACAAAGTCTAAGTTAGGATCTGCTGTTTCTCTGTGGTAACTGAACTGACGTGTTTAGACCAGACAGAAAGACTGACAGTGAGAAAATTAGTGAATGAATGAATGAAAGTGTGTGAATGTGTTTAGTATTCATCGCTGAGTTTCTGGGCTGAATAAGGAATGCCGGCACGCAGCGTGTGAATAAAACCCTATAGAGCAAAAAGCATTATGGGTACAAAACCACACAGTCAGTCAATGCTGAAGGAGTCCAGTTGTGTCTCGCATAGCGATCGAGAGTTTTAAAGCACGATTGAACAAACACATACAGAAGATAGTATGTTTCTCATTCAATTATGGTATTTAAAGCATTTTTCTACTGCGGTTGAGCTTTATTAAACCTCTCAGTTCTTTACAAACAGATAAACGTGAAAACGCACACACTCACACACACACACAAAGGGCGAAAGTGTTCAACAACCGTCCAATTCTTCTGCTTTTTGTGGCCCATTAGAACAAACCAACAAAGTGAAACCTAAGCTCACAGCTGATCTGGAATCAGTCTTTCAAGTTTCATCCAATCAGAGGAAGTCTCCCTGTTCTTAAAGAGGTAGCTTCACTGAGAACTTTACCGTTCGAACAGCTGAGAAAAGAACAAGAAAATAAATAACAGAGAAACAGAGAACAGATGAAAGAGATGAGACTGAACAATACTGACACTGCTTCAGAGATGATTTGAATCATTCATGCGTCATACACACACATACAAGAGATCAATGCAGACTTGTTTCCCATGGATCAAAAACAAAGCAACTGGGCACCTCAACAGCACAATAGCAAATGCACTGACATTAGAGTTTCTTCCACTATAAATAAAATAAAAATTGTAATAAAACTTAAAATATTAAATTCAATTAAATACACATAATGCAAATGCAATTAAATTATTTACACACAATAAATAAATAAACAATAAACATAGCAACAAAATAAAATAATAATAAAAATGAAAATTGATCAAATAAAACAAAAATAAAAATGCAATACATATTTTATAGTAAATTAAAATGAACATAAAAATATCATAACACAGAAAATTACATAAAGTAAAATTACAAAATAAAAACCAATAAATAAAAACCAAAATAAAACAAAACAAACCAAAATAAAATACATTTTTATTGCTGAAATCGCTGCAACTTCTAGATATCAATTTCAGAGAAACGTGCTCCTAAACGACACATAAAAACGAAACTAACTGCATCTGGTTGCTTTACATGTCTGTAAGACAGTCTCTTCCTAAGTAGGTGGTTCCTGGCCTGAATACGGCTTTATGCTCTTAGCCAAAAGTCTGGCTACACAAAACCAGTCTGGTCTTTGTCATAAACTGATGTGCTTTTGATTTTTGTTCTTCTCTTGTTTCCGGTTTTCCCTGCTTTCTGGATCTGGATGAGTGTGGTGATATGAAGCAGCAGCTCTAGGGTTCAGGACTGATCATCTGAACTACTGAGTGAGGCCTACAGATGGAGCATGTCTCAAACACACACGTTATAGGCCCAGTCAGAATAAAGCTTCTTCAACAATAGGTTTAATAGAGAATTACAGCACCAGACCATATGCTGTCTGGATTAAACACAGGAAAAACGGAGCAAGACTGTTCTTAATTAATTCTCTATTGCAAAATGCATTAACTAAAGAATAAACTATACGTTTGCAAATATATATATACGTACACAAATATATCCAAAAATGGCACGTGTATCAAATCAACAGAATGAAGCAATGAACTGAGGTAGACAAAAGAAAGAGATGGATAGACAGACAGATAACGAGAGAGAAAGAAGAGGTTTATGAAACAAGGAGAAGCAGCATTCTGGGAAATCGGTCGGACGGACACCATGGAGCCCCGCTCAGTGTGTGTGTGAGAGTGTTGAATGCTGGGAAATCTGCGTTCTTCAGGTTAATACCTAAATGCCTTCATCTTATTTGATAAATGAAAGATGCACGTCGTGTTCGAACGCCACTCTGGTCATTAGTTCAGTGCTGTCTGGACATATAAATCATACAGTTGATGACCTCGAGAGCTCAATGTCTCATCTGTGTGTGTGTGTGTGTGTGTGTGTGTGTGTGTGTGTGTGTGTACTTGTTTAAGCTACATTGTGGGGACCAAATGTCCCCACAAGGATTGTAAAACCTGAAATTTTTTACATAAAAATTCAATAAAATAAAATAAAATATTTTAGTATTATTTTAATACTAAAATAACCTGTCTGGATTAAACATGGGAAAAACGTATATATAATGCATATACACACACTAGAAACTTTCAGTCTAAACACACAACAGCATCTCTGTTTATGGAAAAAAATAGAGAGATGTGCTATAATTCTGAAAAATATCATCATTTAGAAGAGAAAATGTCTTGATGATGAGCTATATATATATATATATATATATATATATATATATATATATACATATATACATACATACCATAGCAACAAAATAAAATAATAATAAAAATGAAAATTGATCAAATAAAACAAAAATAAAAATGCAATACATATTTTATAGTAAATTAAAATGAACATAAAAATATCATAACACAGAAAATTACATAAAGTAAAATTACAAAATAAAAACCAATAAATAAAAACCAAAATAAAACAAAACAAACCAAAATAAAATACATTTTTATTGCTGAAATCGCTGCAACTTCTAGATATCAATTTCAGAGAAACGTGCTCCTAAACGACACATAAAAACGAAACTAACTGCATCTGGTTGCTTTACATGTCTGTAAGACAGTCTCTTCCTAAGTAGGTGGTTCCTGGCCTGAATACGGCTTTATGCTCTTAGCCAAAAGTCTGGCTACACAAAACCAGTCTGGTCTTTGTCATAAACTGATGTGCTTTTGATTTTTGTTCTTCTCTTGTTTCCGGTTTTCCCTGCTTTCTGGATCTGGATGAGTGTGGTGATATGAAGCAGCAGCTCTAGGGTTCAGGACTGATCATCTGAACTACTGAGTGAGGCCTACAGATGGAGCATGTCTCAAACACACACGTTATAGGCCCAGTCAGAATAAAGCTTCTTCAACAAAAGGTTTAATAGAGAATTACAGCACCAGACCATATGCTGTCTGGATTAAACACAGGAAAAACGGAGCAAGACTGTTCTTAATTAATTCTCTATTGCAAAATGCATTAACTAAAGAATAAACTATACGTTTGCAAATATATATATACGTACACAAATATATCCAAAAATGGCACGTGTATCAAATCAACAGAATGAAGCAATGAACTGAGGTAGACAAAAGAAAGAGATGGATAGACAGACAGATAACGAGAGAGAAAGAAGAGGTTTATGAAACAAGGAGAAGCAGCATTCTGGGAAATCGGCCGGACGGACACCATGGAGCCCCGCTCAGTGTGTGTGTGTGAGAGTGTTGAATGCTGGGAAATCTGCGTTCTTCAGGTTAATACCTAAATGCCTTCATCTTATTTGATAAATGAAAGATGCACGTCGTGTTCGAACGCCACTCTGGTCATTAGTTCAGTGCTGTCTGGACATATAAATCATACAGTTGATGACCTCGAGAGCTCAATGTCTCATCTGTGTGTGTGTGTGTGTGTGTGTGTACTTGTTTAAGCTACATTGTGGGGACCAAATGTCCCCACAAGGATTGTAAAACCTGAATTTTTTTACATAAAAATTCAATAAAATAAAATAAAATATTTTAGTATTATTTTAATACTAAAATAACCTGTCTGGATTAAACATGGGAAAAACGTATATATAATGCATATACACACACTAGAAACTTTCAGTCTAAACACACAACAGCATCTCTGTTTATGGAAAAAAATAGAGAGATGTGCTATAATTCTGAAAAATATCATCATTTAGAAGAGAAAATGTCTTGATGATGAGCTATATATATATATATATATATATATATATATATATATATATACATATATACATACATAC